CCAACACTGGTCATTTTTCATGGACAAAATGTGACGGAACAACTACGTCCATGCAGGAACTTTTCTGTCTGGCCTCGAGACACCACGGCGTCAAAGCAAAGCGTTAGGACCGTGTCAAGTGGTAAAGTCTGCCGACGTGAAGCTTTTAAAGCAGTCTGATAACAGGTCAGCACGTCTGCAGCGTAATTAAACTCAGACCGTCTCATTTTTACTACCTGCCGCTGCACATGCTCGACTCATGTCCTCAGGATGCAAATAAAAACAAAGAAGGCCTTCATTAACTCCCATGGAAGAACTGCCTCACCTCCCAAGTTGTGGACATAAACTGGGCCAGGAGTCGATGAAACAAACAGTTGTATAGTCCTAAGAAGACCAAGATACAATGGATATCTTGAATCAGTAATCAAAATGAAGTGAGGTTCACTTCGGTCTGTGAGGATCACTTGGATCAGCAACACTAAAATTCCCAGAATTTTAAACATACGGAACCATCAGATACCGTGACACCACATTTTTTTCCCCAAAAAAATGCTATATCACTGGCCCTCAAATGGCCAGCTCCAATTGGCATAACGCAACGCTAATGTGTATCCTGTTTCATGCTTCAAGAAAATGACATACAACTTCCCCTTATTGCATCAACTGCAAGACTGTCCAACAGACAAACTTGACATCCAATCAGCTGTGTGACATTTGCAGCTACCCTTAATTACTTGTTGCAAACCTACACTTAATACATCAACACATACATTTATAAAATGTCCATGGAGAAAAACTCAGTGGAATGAATGAGCATGATTCCACATTGTGAACCCTCCTGCTAGAGGATTTTGCCATAAATGTCAAGGAGACTTTTTGATGCAGGTGCTCTTTTCTATTTTACTAATCCCAGGACAATGAAAATGCGTGAAAAAGGCAAGTCCTATAGGAAAGTGGTCATCTAAAATGTGTGCTCTCAAAACAAATACCACTATTTGCTCCTACCAATAGCACACAAAACATCCAGGGATGTGCATTTTTAGTCAAAACACTCTACTTTGTATATGATATACACCCTATGTAAAGGTGATTGAACCCTATGTGGGATCTGCATCCAGGTCCCAAACACAGAAGTGTCCTACAGTAAATTATTCATAGGAAACAAACTATCTATTTCCGCTTCAACTGAGCACCTGGGAGTTCCTCAGGACACTATACTAGGGCCACCACGTGTCTCTAATATAAGGTTTTAAATGTTTCAATTTGTCATGAAAGAGACAAACCAGTCCAATGGTGAATAGCTGAAATTATAGTCCCAATTACTGACCGGAAAAACTTTTTTGGTAGCCTGGATCATTTGTAATAATTTTATAGTGAGAGGATATACAGTATAACAAGATAGCTTCACACCAAATTCCATGCAGAATTCTTTGTGTTAAAAGACAATATCTATAGTCATTTAACAGCGTCTTTTGGATCCCACCATTGTAGAATGACTTTCCAGTTTTAAAATACTGAAAACCAACAGAGGCATTCTGGAAAGGGGTTGTTTATGTAAATGGCCACAACACTCAATATTGCTGCAAAGACGTTCGCCAACAATTTTAATGGCTGCAAACAGCTTTTCTTGTTCCAAGGAAACTTTGAACATGTTTGGCAAAGGTCTTAATGACCATGTGCGACTTTAGTGTAAAATCAACATTAGCGAAGTGTGCATACACTTGCAAACATGTGCTGGTCGGTGAGATAGGTACTTTATCAAACATTCACTAAGCACTGAAACAAAACAATGTGTGCACCTCCAACATAGTGGTGAGTGATGTCACAGGAAAGCTATTTTTACACAATGAGAAATGCGTCATGACCTGTACTCATGACATATACTTTGAATAGGTCAATAACAGGAATCTTTGATCTTGTTTTCTTTATGGGAAAACACCAATAACATTGGGTTGGCTCTCCTATTTCTGGAACAATGTGCTGTAATGTACTTTTACCTCTTTAGATGTCAGAAACTGTTGCCTTTTTATTTTTAATTACCACTTCACAGACAAGAATCATGACGTTGATATAAATAACTTGTTTTTGTGGGCCACATAAAATGATGCAGCAAGCCAGAGCTGATACCCGTGCCTTGAGTTTGATATCTGTGGCCTAACTCATTTGTTCATTTTTTTATCGCAGAAAACACATAAGAGTGAACCAAATACTGCATATATGATATTTATTAACAATTTCATTCCAGGGGTAGAATTGAATTATGTGTCTGAAGGCGATTTTCGCAAATGTAGCCAGTATCATGATGACAAAATATATATATACAACGTTTAGTGTACATACTGTACACACCCTGGCAGAGTTTGCAAGATGTTTACCGTTCTTTATGTCATTAGGGGAAAGTTACTTAAACATTAAACATTTAAACAGCAATAAAGACAATTATGAGATGGTCCCCGTTCAGTTACCAGTCATACAGTATTTCCCAAAAAGAAAATGCCAATATTTCACAATTTTCCACCAGGATATGGAAACAAATGAGCACAACTGCATAGATGACCTAAAATGTAGGCTACTGATGTGTTTTAACCATTGTACTGTACTCGGGAGTGAACGATACAAGAACCAAATGAAAGTAATGCACGTTCAGTGAATAAGCAGGGCAATTCAAATGGAGCTTTGGCCAACTTACTTGCACAGAGTCGTTGGCCATCGCGGTGCCTGTCGCCGTGTCGCTGCCGGACAACCTGTGCTCATGTGGGGCTTCTGCTCCCCACCCCTCGTCAACCAGCTCCGAGACAATGGCGCACAATGATGGATGTTGTCTCAACTTTGTCCTAACAGCCTGTTGACACAAAGGCGGTCAGGAGGTAATCCTCGCCTGGGTGTTGAGTGGACCCACCCTGTCGCTTGTTCCCAAGTCATACAGTATTTCCCAAAAAGAAAATGCCAATATTTCACAATTTTCCACCAGGATATGGAAACAAATGAGCACAACTGCATAGATGACCTAAAAATGTAGGCTACTGATGTGTTTTAACCATTGTACTGTACTCGGGAGTGAACGATACAAGAACCAAATGAAAGTAATGCACGTTCAGTGAATAAGCAGGGCAATTCAAATGGAGCTTTGGCCAACTTACTTGCACAGAGTCGTTGGCCATCGCGGTGCCTGTCGCCGTGTCGCTGCCGGACAACCTGTGCTCATGTGGGGCTTCTGCTCCCCACCCCTCGTCAACCAGCTCCGAGACAATGGCGCACAATGATGGATGTTGTCTCAACTTTGTCCTAACAGCCTGTTGACACAAAGGCGGTCAGGAGGTAATCCTCGCCTGGGTGTTGAGTGGACCCACCCTGTCGCTTGTTCCCAGAACTTCTCCTCTGACGTTGTATTTTAAAATACATAAGAATATAGATACACTTTGAAGAACGTTGGTCGCTGCCTTTACGTCTCGCAGTCAATCATCCAATTGGAACATGGGGGACATCCACAATGGCAGCTTACAACAATGAACCCCGTGAAAGAAAGCCCCCCACGCGGCTACGTTTCCGTCTCGCCAAGACGCTGAAAATGTCACATCCACGGTGAGGTGTGAGTGAAGAATAGCGAGAGAAATAGGAGCTTCTTCTTCCTCCACGAGAGTTCGCTCAGAGCGTCGCCGGCTACATCCGTGAAAGGCTCAAACACGCCTCGCTGGCTGCCTCACTCGCTAGTTGCTACCCCGCTCTCTTCCACGCATCACGTGACACCCAAGACACCGCCTGTCAGACCGTGCGTGCGCGCGCCCGCGAACACGCGCCCAGTTTTACAACACGAACACGCAATACAACACGAACACGCAAGTCGCGTACGTACGGGTAACCAAACGCTCACTTGAAATATTGTACCAGCCACAGGTGGTGTGCGGGAGCGCGCGGTCCCGACACCACGCAGCATTTCATCGTTAGAGAGCACGCACGGCGGGAGCGCGACCGGATATGTCACGTGACCGGCCGGCTCCGTGGTTGCTAAGGCAACCATAACATATGACGTGATATGAAGCAACTGTTGCCTAAACGAAATCTAATGCTTAAATTACAATAGCCTAAAATTACCAACAACATAAAAATAATTTTGTACCCTTTTTTGCTATAATATTTCTTTCTCTTGACTATCCAAGACGTGTGCTACTTAATTACTTCATTTAAAAAAAGGGTATCCTTCTGAAATCACAAATTTGCTCAAATACTCTTTATATGTTATTTTGAGTGGCCCAGTGGTACAGTGGTCAGCGTGTTGACCTCATAGTGCAGAGGTGCAGGGTTTCGATTCCGGTTCCGGCCTCCCTGTGTGGAGTTTGCATGTTGTCCCCGTGCCTGCGTGGGTTTTCTCCCACATTCCAAAAACATGCATGGCAGGTTAATGGAACACTCTAAATTGTCCCTAGGTGTGAGTGTGAGCGCAAATGGTTGTTCGTTTCTGTGTGCCCTGTGATTGGCTGGCAACCAGTTCAGGGTGTCCCCCGCCTACTGCCCGAAGACAGCTGGGATCGGCTCCAGCACCCTAGTGAGGATAAAGCGGTTCAGAAAAAGAATGAATGAATGAATAAAGATATTTATGTGAAGACACTGATCATGTTAATGATTTCTCAGCAATTTGGAAACAGAAGTACCAGATGCAATACATTATGTTCAGGAATCTTCACCAGCAGTAGTAAAAAAAAAAATGACTTGGCAATTATGCTGTGAATCAAACAAATGACTCACAAGTTTGGTCAACTTTTCTTTGGGAAAACCATTGTTAATATTATTATATGCAAAAATACTTATAATAAAAGTAATACACTTAAGTGTATCTTTTGATGTTACCAGCATATTCATTTGAAAAAGTAAAAATATATGACAAATATTTGTGGGCAAGGTCCCAAAATAATAGACAATATAAAATAATCAGATGATTAAAAAGTGCAACAGCGTTCCATAGATTTTATTTTTAATTCAATTTTTTTTCTTAATTCGGACGTCCATTACCTTCGAATATTCACCCTTTGTCAAAAGTTACCCCAGCCTCTAATTGCAGCAAGCATCGATTTCTTCGTTGAAATAGCCTCAGCGGAATTTTAGGTCATTTCATTATTGTTGTATTTATTCGACAATACACATAAATAGACGATACATATGTAATTGTTAATTATTTAATTTGGTCTTCTTTTTCAGTTTGTTTTTTGGGGAGATTGTTTCTGTTTTCAATTTTTTCCGACGGTAGCTTCGGCTAGCACTGTGTTGTCATTACATGAGTGTTATAAGCCGTTAGCTTAGCCGCTAGCGTTGCGCGAGACGTCCCGTTCCCGCCTCGTTCAGTTATTATAATATGTATTTTTGTTCAATCAGATACACAAGGCCATTTGGAAGAGCGTCACGAGAATGTCAGCAAACAGGACAGACGTCGAAGATACGGTGGTTGAACAGTCAGCGCAAGTACCGCAGGAGGTCGGCGGTGAGTGGGCGACCACCATGGATGTCACACTGGATCATCGGCATTTGTCGTCAAATTTCACACTCATTCACTGACGCTTGTACACAATACACACAAAATTGATGGACTTTAAGATGGACCCCAAAAAATACATACCACAATGTGTGATAAAAGTGTGTTTTATGTTGATTAGAAGTGTATTCACAGTATTCATAAAACAACACAGTTCATTTCCAAACAAAAGACAACCATCTACCCAGAATGGGGAACAGATATTAATCAATTGTACAAAAAGTAAGCACAACACAACAGCAGTCTAGCATTTCATAATACAAAAACGACCAACAAGAAAGTAAGATCACAAAGAAAAATGTTAGAGTAGGAGCAATTTGTATCAAGAAAGTCTGCAACTTTTATTTGTGTCTCAAAATAAGTTCACCATACACGAAAGTCTGTAACCATGCAATGGTTACTTTTAAGAGTGTATAGAGTGTTTTATTAGACATCCTCTGTGAGTAATAATTAGAATGTTTTATGCATATTCCACCGCCAGGATGAAGTCCCTCATATGCCTACATAAAGTCACAGAAATATTGGCATTCAAATATTTTCCATCCAACTTGGTTGGTTATATTAATTTGTATTAAACCGGCTGAGTCCAAAGTTAAATGGTTTAATTATTCTAAGTGTGTTGAGGCTTATGTTTATTGTGGTGGCCAAGCCAAAAAGTATGTGAGCTTCATTCACTAGCAAGCACACAAAGCACTTAAGTAAACTAAATACAAACATAAAATACATGAAGACACAATCAAAATTTTAACCACTCACTTTTTGAAAAATAAGTTGACTTGAAAGTTCCTGTAAGATGAAAATGTCTTGTAAATAGGACACCATAAAAGAGTTTCTTACAACCCTGCCAATTAAAAATAATGGCATGTATAACCAGATTTTAAATCACAACTGTTCGTTCTGCTCTCGGATGCTTTGGGGGTATGCCTGGGAACCGAACCACATCGTGGTTAACTCTAAACTGTCAATCAATCCCCAGACATTTTTATTATGACTACATCCACAAAAAATATTTCCGTCTGTGTAAACGAGAACCAGCCGTCTGGCTGCCAAGCTTTTCAAAATATCTACATTGTGTCGCCCATTTCTTCGACATGGCTATCGACTTCTTCCTTGACAATCCTGCCATGTTTTTGCGGTTAAATCACAGGAATTTCATCTGTACACATACAGCACAGATGACAATAAAGTTGTATCTAATCCAATCCAAACCAATGATTTAAACCAGTTTTTGTTATGGCATGACCCTCCTCAGTGTTTGCACACGTTTTCAGCAGTTACCTTAAAACATGTAAAAAAGACTGAATTCACTTACCAGGGTCTTGAAGTTTTTCTGAGAAAATTACCTTCAATACTGAGACACTGTATACCAGTAGATAGACTTATTTCAAGTGGGCTAATATTACACAAGGTGACAAACTTCAAATGATACTTCTACTTTACCTCACGTATCGCTTTCAGGTAATTTAGACATTATTGGATCTATGAGAGATGCGTATATGTAATAATTATAGCATCAACACAAATGAACAACTAATATAGAATAACAATGCAAATATAACCTTCTTTTCAGAGGCTCTGGCGCCCCAGAGTGGCCATCCAACATCAAGCTGCTGCATGCCGGTAAGCTGGACCACGTTGAACCTTAGTTCTATTGAGCTGCAGGTCCAGTTTCCCATCAGCCAAGCAGAAAACTTGCACAAAGAAATTGCTAAACGGTAAAGGGTTTTGTTTGGATAAAATACACATAAAAAACTAATTTTTTATATATATATATATATATATATAAATGAATTTATACAGTCTGTGTTCTATTGCAGTAAGGCAAAAAAAGACAGTGAGCCTTGGGTCAGAGAATTGAGGGCGTTCATCCATGCATGTCAGCCTTACTTCAACTTCCTGGAATCCACAGCCAGAACCAAGATGTTGTGCCCTGATGACAAGGTACGCATCTCAATCGTGTTACTTATTCTTAGTATTTTGTAGTCGCAGCTTGGGGCTAATCAGTTTTATGGCGGAGTTCCCTTCTTTTGGAGTACCGGTATGCTGAATTTGTATGCAAATTGGAATGTGCTGGAGTCACTAACCCAATGTCAACGCAATAATGAAGACATCATGGGCGGCGCGGTGAGTGAGTGGTTAACACGTGTGCCTCACAGTACAATGGTCATGGGCTTGATTCTGGGGGCCCCGCCTTCCATGTGGAGTTTGCATGTCTTCCTCATGCGTGCGTGGGTTTTCTCCGGGTGCTCCTGTTTCCAAGTCTTGGGGGAGAATAGTGCTGTCTTGCGTGGATCAGTAGTTGATACCATATTTTCATGCTATCAAGTAGTTGGTAACCCTGAAGGTGGGCTACACCCTTGGACCGGTTGCCAGCCCATCAGATTGCACATCCGGACAAACAACCATTCAGCTGTATGGACAATTTAAAAACTCCCACGTACATATTGTGCTTTTCTTTTGAAATGTGGGAAGAAGTCAGAGTGCCCGGAGAAAGCCCACGCAAGCACACAAAAAACACAACTCCGCATAGGTTGGCCGGAATCAAGAATCGAACCCCAACTCTCAGAACTGTGAGGTTGACGTGCCAACTACTCGTCCAACTTGCTGCCCTAGTAAACTTAATTACACTTAAATATAAAATTTCAATGAAAATTGGTGATTATGGTGGTAACTGCCGCATGATGAAATATTCTTGGCCGCATGCCATTCGTCATGAAATGTCTTATGTCGGGAGAGTCGTAAACAAAAGACCCCCGTTCATGACTGTTTGGATAATATTAGTTCTGTGTATGAGTGCAGTTCTGAACCACTGCAAACTACACTACAACATGTCAATAGTAACATCCTGAAGTCACAGTGTGGACATATTTATGGATTGAATATATATATTCTTTGTGTGTGTGTGTGTGTGTGTGTGTGTGTGTCGTGCAGCTGTTGGAGCTCTCTCAGCAACTGTGTGATGTATTGGAACGTCTGGTGTTGGACTCTGCCAGCTGCAATCTCCTCACATTGGACCAGACAGATCCTGACAAGTAAACACGCATACAGACACAAACAACCCACACGCTAATTCCTCTTAAATCGGGCCGCTGTGTAAAACGTAAAAACAAAACACAGGGGTCTTTTCCGACCTATACGTAATTGGAAACACTACCAAGACAAGATGTTTCATCTTCAAAGTGCTAAACTTTTTTTTTCCCCTCAAATATTCTCTCATTTTGAACTTCATGCCTGCACCACATTCCAAAATAAGCAAGGACAGGGACATGTTTACCGCTCTGTTAAATCACCTTTCCTTTTCACCACCACACTCAAAACACACACTCATTCCTGAAGCTTCGTAGAAGGGATTTGTTCCCATCCTTGCTCGATGTTCAACTGCAGTTGCTCGACAGTATGGGCTCTCTTTATTGACATTTTACGCAATTGGATTTGGGGTAAGTATCTATCCATCCACACAAAGAGCCGCCAACTTGAATTTTTTATGCACTGTTTACTTTAGTCGCGTTCGGCTGCGTTGCTCATTGTGTAACAGGCATTCACTGTCAAACGAGCGCGAAAGAAATTTTGGTTGACCTCAAAACTGCTCAACTTATAATTTGTTCGGCTGTGGAGCTTTCACTGTAACACTAAACGGCCATCACTATTTCATGGAGCAATCTATTCCCTTGTCCGCAGTATGTCTGACTTCTGCATCGGCCAAATAGAGCTGCAGCGACTGAGACTGAGCGTGACCATGTTCCGCTACTGTAAGCCCACGCCGTACCTGGCAAGGTTCAACACCGGCGTGTTCAAGCGCATGCGCTGGAACGTGGAGAGACTTGATGATGGGTACAAAAAGTAGTAAGTCTTATTTTCATACCTGTTCCATACCTGTGCACTTACTTTTTTGTTTGTTTGTTTTTGTTTTAATAAAAGTGGCTTTCCTCCCCCCCCAGCTACTACCTGTGCTGTGAGGATACTCCAAATATACACGCAGATAGTGACAAATATGATATCACAGTGGTGCGGATGTGGTCCATTGGTCAGTGGGTGCAGGTGAAGCCTGACCCCAACACTGAGAGCATCGTTGACTGGTAAGGACAGTGATACATAAAAGATCTTCGAGGCATATTCTTCCGTCATTCTTCATGTTAGAATGTCACATAGCTGCGCAATTTTTTGGCAGCACAAATCCTCCCATCCACTCATATACAGTACTGACCTTCACGGAACGTATTCTGGGTGGACGACGGCGTTCCCTGTCAAATCGGACAGAGTGCATTTTCTTCAAAAGACTTAATTTAAAAAAAAAATAAATTAAAAACTTTCCTCTTGACAGTGCAGAGGCTGTTGTGGTCACTGACTGTCCTGTCACTGTGTCCCTACATTACACTGACGGCTGAACGTTGATATCGTATTTTCTTATTTGGCGAAACAGAATTCAGAGCCGGCAGACTCTTTGTCACTGAGGAGCATTTCCGCATGCTGATGGGTGCTCGATGTTTGAATGTACTACAGTAATGACAAACGACGACAGTCATCCGGTGTTATGACTTAGATTTTAAATTACTTTTTATTTGATCCATGCCTGTCGTGAAATCCGTTTAGGTGACTCGCAAGCATGCGTGATCCACAATCACTCACTTTTCTGTTGATACGCTGGCTCCAAACATGCATTCAGCCATGACGACAGTATTTGGATTAAATTACTTTAATTGGATGTATTAAATACATTCTCCTTCAAATTAGTGTGTTAGATATGCGGTGCACATGTCACTGGTGATTAGTATAAAGTTCGGATCCGAATTCAGTGGTCATACTGACCCCCCTTCCTCAAAATCCTCATCTTTATTCATATCCGACTTATTTGTGAATGCGTTTCGTTTCAGGGTGCTTTGCGACGTTCCAGAGGGCGACTTCGAAAAGCTGCTGTTTCTGGGCGAACAAGAGCCGTCCAGCCACAGAGCCACCGACCAACTTCTAAAGCTGCTCATGTCCCAGGAGGGCATCTCACCTCAGCTGGACTTGAGACTCAGTCAGGTTTGAGGAGGATATTGTTCTGTTGTAAACAAGTATAGGTTTGGACAAAGGGGCTCAGAGTTAGATACAGCTCAAGCAGGATTTCAGAGTCATGTGAGGGGACTTGGGATACCAATATCTCCATAAGCAGAACCGCGTTATAGTTACAAGACTCCTTACCTCATGTCTGTTTCAGTATTAAGTGTCGAAAGTGACATTTTGTCTTTTAAGTCTGTTTGGCTTTGAAACGTTGACATTTTTGCACTGTTTACAGTTTGCTTACAACCTCTTGTCTAGAAATATTTAATATACAGTTATGTTATTCTAAGCTTTAGACACTTTAAAATTGACCTTTTGTAATTTTGTAAGAAAACATTTTGGAGGGAGAGTTCTTATTAAAAAAAACATTCTACTTTGCCTTGAAATATTTGTACACAATTCAGCATTCAGTTCAGTACACTTCACCTGAAACATCCATTCATCCATTTTCCAAAATGCTTACTCTCATAAGGGTGCAATAGATCCAGTTTTCAGCTAACTATAAATGTAACACTTTCGTATATATTTTTTTACCCTTTCAGGAACAGCGGCTACCACAGTGCACAGCTTATCATGTTATCAGGTTACAGGGTGCATGAAACGATTAATGCAAATTAATTCCCAGATTTGGGAAAAAGAAAACTTTTTGGCCATGGTCATTCAGTGCTGGGTTCAATCAGGTGCGGATGTTTGAATGAAAAAAAAACAACAACTAATAAGCCAAAATGAAAATAATTTTAAACATACTTTCATGGTATAAACAAAGCATGCCGTATTCTGCATGTCAATTACTTGAGTATGAGGAAACTACAGCCTTGGGTAGGTCAATAATTCATAACACTGATTTTGATGGAATGTAAATTTATTGAAAGCAGAGTTTAAATGAAAACACAAGCAGAACATAGCAAAACACACACCGCCCCAGATTGACACCTGAACATCAACAACCTCACTCTTTTGAGTATATACACAACTTCAATTGACAATGACACTTTCCATTTTATAAAAGAGCATCAGGCGGAGACTATTATGATGTGCACTTGGCATGCGTGTCATCTCGGTCTTGGTGCCTTGGTGATGAAGAGGAATTTGGGATTTGGTTGGTAACCTTGAATCAAAGACAAAAGAGAAATGAGTTGAATTCCAAATGAGATTGTTCAGAATAAAAACAAACAAACAAAAAAATGTTTTCAAAATTTCACAACAAATAATATTCATCACATACTGTTGGCATATCGGACCTTTACTTGAGCGCAAAGGCTTCTCGGGCCAAATAGTGCTCCGCCATTCTCACTGAACACTTTGATCGCTGAGCGGCATTTCATTTCTCCTGAAACGTCATCATCAGAAAGCCTACTGACATCATTTAGTATTCATCTTGTCATATAAACATCCAGTGACATCATTTGCAACGTGACTTCATCATAAACAACAAGCCTTGTGACATAATTATTCAACTGCTTGTCACAATTTCCAACCGTAATTTAAACAAAATACAAAAATTAACAAAATACTCGACAATTACTAATTGCAGAAGTGATAGTACAGTAAAAATTAAAACTAAATCAAAGAACAATTTGATGCATACGTGTGCTTACCCAGTCCAGGTGGCCCACAGTCCCCTTTGCAGGTGTTGTAATCCAGGATGCGCTGAGGATTTTGATTTTCCAGATGTTCATCACAACTCGCAGTAGATCGGTACGTGACAAAACAATTCTTTTTTTTTTTTCTTTTTAACCGAAGAGCTTGAAAAAAAATAGTGTCTAAATGTCAACATATTCAAGAATTTAGGAAGTTACGGCATTATAAAGACTTTAAAGAGGGCATCAAGGACCTCGTTTCAAACAAAACAAGGCCTCAGCGTTAAGTGTAGACCAAATTATAACGATGAGACGGCACAAGAATTTTGATTAATTCATTCATGATTAATTCTGATTGCTAAAAAAAAAAAATGCTGGTATCACAACATTCTCTTCAGCATTGTATAAACTTGATGTAACTGTTTGCATGACCTTGAAATTATTTGAGAGAAGCAGGCAAGCTCAAACAGACCTTGCATGACATGATCACACAAAAATGGTGTCACGAGTAGTGGCGAAAACCGGGTCCATTGTCGCATACCTGCCGGACTGAAGATCTGGGGGAGGAGTGCACGGACTCATCTTGTGTGGGACTTGGGAGACCACAGGATTTTCTTCATCTTGGATTTCCATGTGGTAGCTACCTCATGCTCCTGACTTCTTTCTCGCCCTCTTCCGGGACCAAGCTCAAGGCCCCTCCGGTGTTCTGAGTAAACTCTTCCTCTCGGGAAGAGTCGGGAGTCTGTGAGAGCCTCGTCATCATCCCAAGAGCCGCGAGACCGCTTCGCTCACTTCTTGAAAAGTCAAACCGTGCTCGATGGCAGCCGGCTTGGAAAACGAAGCGGCGAGACCCCGACCGCAATATTCTCCTGATGACTTTGAAACACGAAATCTTTTGATATTGGCTCATCGGCAGAGCATGTGTCTGCATATGCGGAAGGGCTTCCTTTGATCAACATAAACTACAGAGGCCATTTGGGCCTTTGGTGATTTGCTTTGATGAATTTCATACCCAGGGATCCCACACCGATTCATTGTATTTAAGTTTCTTGTAAAAGCCACAAATTTCTATCAAAACTTACTGTTTTGTTTTATTTTTTTTATTATTTACAGCCCCACCTAAAGGTTCAGGGCAGGGGTGTCAAACTCATTTTTGTCGCTGGCCACTTTGGAGTTACATCTTCCCTCGGAGGGCTGTTAAAAAAGCAAACATGAATAAATGTTTAATCACCACATCGTATTATTACACACACAAAAAATGATGGCTCACTAGTGTTGAAATCAGTCAAGTATTTGTTCAATCATTTCTCATGTGAGTATAAACAGGGCAACCAAATTATTGCAAAATGTCACCGTTATTTATTACGTAGGACAATTTGAGATTTTGGTACAGATTGAAGCAAGGATCACGGAATTTGACACAGATGATTTGCTACCGCAGGCCACATAAAATGATGTGGCGGGCCAGATCTGGGCCCCTGGGCCTTGACTTTGACACCTGTGGTTTGGGGGTTTTGGTTTTGTATTTCAAAGGGCAATTTATAGATTGATTGAAAAATGTCTGTTCTAATGGGAGTCAGTGGAGCCCAATATGGCTTTAAGGATGGGAGTGTAGAGTTGATGGAAAAACTTATTCCTAATAATATTTTCATTTTCAAGAGCAGTTTGTAAAAAGCTACCTGGCAAAATTTCAGCGCATTAACCTTTCGACGACGATCTGTGAACTATGAGGTGGGGGGAAAAAAAAGCGTAAAGTGGAAAGATGACCGTTGTGGGCACTAAGGGGCCTCATGAGTTAAATGAGTGAAAAATAAATGTGGGGAAAAAAAAAAAAGAAATGTTTAGGCCACTATAACATGGACACTAACATGTTTGTTTGTTTGGTTTGTTTTTTGCCCACATACCACTAGAGAAAGCCTATGTCCCACTTGTGCCACTCACGGCACATTTTGAGACTCGCTGGATTAGGATAATTTCAAATTTTTGCAGTTGGTGTTGTTGATGTCATATGTCTTTGATGCTATTAGACAAAGAATGAAAGAGCGTATTGTCATCTTACAAGACACCGCAGCAAGACTAAGTCCGTGTGGTTCCGCAGAAGGAAGGCTGCCGAGATAATTAGAGAGACGCTACTGGTATTGCAAACAAAATATATTGCGCTCCTTCACTTTTTTTTTTTTTTTTTTGGTTTTGTTTTCAGTCTAGACAATTTCCCAACAATCCTTTTGAGAATGTCAGCAAATGATGCTGAAGCAATGACGGTCAACCTTCTGCCCGGAGACTCGGCGCAAGTGCGGCAAATGGTCAGGTGGTCACCGGTGAGTGGGTGTCTCGGTTGGACGACCATTTGGATGTGTCAGGACGTTTACATTTATCCTGAAGTCTCACAAGAGGACGTCTCGACAATCGCATGGGGGTTCTATTCTGACATATTGGCACAACTGCACTAATCTGTTCAAGCAATCAGGACTTGAAGTCGCCGCGTTGAGGAGTTTCGCCTTCGCCTGCGAGCCGTACTTCAACTTCCTGGAATCTACAGCCAGAACCATGCAGCTGCCCCCTGACATGGTACAAAACTCAATATTCATATTTCATGCGCGTTGAAGGCCATTTTAGGGTTGTTGTTGTTTTTTGTTTTTGTTTAAGTGAGCGCTACGCCGTGGGTACAGATTAGTGACTAATCATTAGTCCAAAGACCAATGACTTTGTTCCACACTTGTCATAAGTGACTATTAATAATTAGCTGAGCTGTTCATCAATGCTATGACACTAATCAGTTGAGTGATTTCTGGCGAGCAACGATTTGGGAAACTAATTATGCCAAACCATTTTAATAAATATGTGTTTATATTTTTACCTGGATAACATTCTTATGAAATCACAATGCCTTATCATTGGTGAGCCATTTTAAGAACAGGCGGGTTTGCTCATACGCTTGCGGACTATCTTGTGTCTGCTGTTCTACATTGTCCGTACGTGTGAATGGTTGCACTGCGATTGACTGTTTATAGAGATATTATTTAATTTATTTAACCAAACTGTTTAGAGCGGTGGGTCAGCAACACGCGGCTCCAGAGCCGCGTTCGCCTCTTTAGCGACATCCAGTGGCTCCCTGGAGCATTGTAAAAATGTTTGAAAATGGAAAAAGATTTTGATAGTAGACTAATATAGCTCCAATAGATATAGATACATGTTGCAGCTCCGAAAAAGGAGAGCTGTGGTGTTGGTTTTTTAAATCATACACTTTATTTATGCTTTTCTCTACACAAACAGACGCGTCTGGTTTGACTCCGTGCCTTCTCTCTTCTCGTTCGACTCAAGAGGCGTTCAAAGACAGCCTCCGAAAAACGGAAATTCATGATGACTTCACTGACACTAAGAAAAGCGAAAACAATGCACCAAAACAAAACAAAACAAAAACAAAAAAATCAAGCGAGGAAATGACAAAATAAATTCTATGGGGGAGTTTGTGAACACACAACAAAGGAATGAATAACAAACAATTCTGAGACAGTCCAGTCTCCTGCATACATACAGCATGTGTTTCCTTCATTGTAAGTTTTATAGAAGGCATTTATTTTTTTGCGGCTCCAGACATATTTGTTTTGGGGTTTTTTTGTCCTATATGGCTCTTTCAACATTTTGGGTTGCCGACCCCTGGTTTAGAGTGATTGGGAATGACAAACATAAGAGTACTACGAGTATGTCGTCACTCGTTGATCACAACAATCGGTCCGCTGTATTTTGACAAAACATACTGCTGAAAACAATAACTTTTTGACAAATTTGTGTGTGCCTGCTGGAGTTTGTACAGCTGATGGAGTTTTCTCAGCAAATGTGTGACACATTGGAACATCTGGTACTGACCTTTGCCAGCAACAATCTCCTCACTTTGGATGAATCCGAGCCTGACAAGTATGCCTGCCAACACACAAACTCACGCAGTCAGCCATATTTGTGTACACACGCAAATACGAATCAAGAGAGGAAATAAAATGACGGTGTTTGATAATGATATCTGTTTCGTCAAGCCAGTTCTTCTCATTTTTCCTGTATTCTACAATGTCAATTATTGACTGTCACCATCAATGCTGGCATCGGGTGGAATCCTTGTATGTACCGCCAAAATCATCACCTTTCAGGAGACCCCCGAAACGGTGCGTTTGTGAAGCCAATGAGAGCAACGCATTTTCAACATTTTAAAACGCAGGTGTCAAACTCAAGGTTTAGGGGCCAGATCCTGCCTGCCATGATGTTTTATGTGGCCCGCGAAAGGAATTCATCATCATGGAAGTTGACACGTGTCAACTTCCATGATCCTTGCTCAAATTTGGACCGATATGTCAAATTGTCATGTGTAATAAATAACGTTGAGTTTTTGCAATCTTTTTTTTTTTTAAACCCCATTTACACTCACTTGGATAATAATTGAATAAACAACAAAGAGTAATCCATCAATTATATTTGTTGTGTACGAGTAATGATACGATTTGATGATTAAACATTTATTCGGTTTCACTGTAATAATGGCCCTCCGAGGGAAGATGTAACACTAAAGTGGCCCGTGACAAAAAATGAGTTTGACACCCCTGCTTTAAAATGATTTGTCAAAGTCACACCCGCATGTGTGGACAGACCAATAGTATCGATTTGTGGAAAACGTATGGAATTGAAAACATCGGAGGTTGCGGCCCAACACCAGCGATAATATAAGCAATTTTTTTTGAAGCAGCATTTCAACATTCTGACATACATGCATATACTTTTTTTTTTTTGTTTTGTTTCTTTACACACATAGTTACTGAAGGGACATGCGGTTGGTCAGGGGAGATGGTCCCTGCCTGCACTGTTTGGCTCATATGTGTAAACCTGACGAACAGGCATCTCAGCATCCATCTGAATACGCATTCTTGTTGCAAAGATGCAACACCTATTAGTCATTGATATACCATAGCCAACTTTCTCACTTTTGTCACCAGCATGTCTCACTTCTGCATCGGCCGCATAGAGCTAGAGCAGCTGCAGCTGAGTGTCACCGCATTCCGCTACTGCAAGCCCACGCCCTACCTGGCCAGAATCAACACCGGCGCGTTTAAGCGCATGCGCTGGAACGTGAAGCACTTTAACGGTGCAAAAGACGGAGACGGCAACCCTGAGACAGAGTAGTGAGTCTTAATTTCTCATTCTTTCCTTCCTTTTTTAATACAGGCCGCTTTTTAATTTTTTCCTTTTGCCCAGCTACTTCCTGTGCTACGAGGATATTCCCAACTTGCACACAGACGATGACAACCCAGATTCCAAAACTGTGCGGATGTGGTCCATTGGTCAGTGGGTGCAGTTGAAACCTGACCCCAAAACGGAGACCATTTTTGACTGGTAATTTCGCGGGTATCCCGTCTACCTACCCCTGCTCAAACACAAGGGTTTTAGGAGACATGATAGATCCCTTCAATATTTTCTACCACTAATGTAGCCTGGACACCTCAATTGAAAAGCAAAAACTTTTGAGACTGTATGCTGACACCACCCTGCCTCACCGTGGGTAATTTTGGTAATGAGCAGAACAGCTGAACTTTATTTTGGGTTAATGGATGGTGGGGCATGTGTGCTGACTCCCATTTAGCGTGAGTTAAACACTGTTTGAAACCAATTGGGTCAAAAATAATCTGGTTATGGGTCCAAGAAAAAAAATGGAGTGACCCCTTTTGGCAATTTTTGGGATTAAATGAATAACCCAAAAAATGGGTCCAATTAACCTGAGTGGCAGTTGGTTCATTTTTGACCCACAATTGGGTTATTTTTGCCACAACGATTTTCAGTTAGACAATATATTAAAGACATAAATTAAAAAAAGGGGCAGGAAAGAGTAGCCCTTAGAGTTTGCCCACTCTTGGGTTCACCACTGTAAAAAAAATAAAATAAAAAAAAATAGCACTCACCCTCAATGTCGTGAACTTGGAGACTTGCTCAAGGAAGTCAGCTTGACGCAGCATTTTGAAATTCTTCACTGCTATACGGGTGTGAAAAGTGAAAACAATTTCTATTTTCTTTAAAAGCAAAATTGGGTACTCACCCGTAGCTGATGAGTTGCGAGCATGCAGAGAGAAATCAGGAGACATTTTCAGAGATTTTTTTTTTCCCCTCTTTGGAGATCGTAACATTGATTTCACAAGTTGTACTTGGCAGTCAGGATGGTAACCTGTGTATTGTCGATGTCTCTGGTGTATGGAGGTTTGGGGGGCGGGGGGGGGGATAAAATCAACTTTGCTACCTTCTGAGTGATATTCTTTTCCTAAGGCTGGAGTGTGAAGTTCCCGAGGGCGCCTTCGACAAGCTGCTGTTTATGGGCAGCCAAGAGCCATCAAGCTGCACAGCCACCGAACACCTGCTGCAGCTGCTGCTGTCATCAGTCATCTCCGTTGGGAACACATCCGGTGTTCTCAGGATGGTATAGCGCTGTTGTCAATACGCAACGTTTTAAATCAGGGACTCTTATTCATCACAAGTGGGATTCGGCGACGTGTTCAACATTGGAAGTCATTAGTCCCCTTTCGTTCCTGTTTGTCATCAAGTTTTCTGACTAATATAGTGGAAGGATATTTAAGGTGGGAAATGTAGTTTCTGAACTGAAATTCTGCATAATCAAGATTGAAATGTTGAATGCGAGATTTGGAACGGTTTGAATGAATGTGGAAGGAGGAAGACAGAGGCTCGAAACTTTGCACCCCAGAACCTCATTGTCGACTCATTCGACAATGAGTCGACTTGTGAACATGAGATGTCGCTGCGCTGTAATTGATGCTCAAGGGCACATGACAAGTTACTGACATTTTTGTTGTGGTGTACCCAGCATTGTTTATTTTTTGTCTCATTTCCCCGTAGCATGAACTTTTTACATTTTCCATAAATTTCACCTAAAAGCCAAATTAATATCCCTCACTTTTGTGAGGAGCATATTTCGTGATCACAAGCGATTTTTACATCATGCTTGTTTGAAAGGTTGCTTAACAAATGTCACGTTGTCGTTTAAATGTGTGCTTTAATACAATGGAAGTCCCCCGCTGTTTTCACTCTGTTCACAATTTCCTGACTCAATTTGTCAGATATAAAAAAAAAAGGCAGAAAGTAAATTAGCATTTTCATGGTGCTTCGAGTTTCAAATCCCTTTTAAAAAATACTTGGCTCGCATTTAAAAAGAAGAAAGGAAAAAAAAAAGACATTCTGGAGTTCTTATCAAAAACATTTACATTAAACCTCACCGTGATATAATGACACACATTCACAGATTTACAGCATTAAAAAAAACAAAAAAAAAACATGCAGCCTGATGCATATGAGCTTAAAATTTCAATTTAAAATTCCCAGTTTGCTTCAGTCAATATTTTAAAAGTCCTTCATCGGATTAGCAAATCGGTGCAAATCAAATCCAGTGTGGCAAACCTTGCGCCCACAAGAGTCAATTTATCTGTGGTGACAGACTACATTGGGTCAACACATTTTTTAAATCTGATTCCAAATCTAACCCCTTTTTCTCCTCTTGTGCGTCAGGTTTTCATAGAGCAATATATATATATATATATATATATATATATACATACATACATACATACATACATACATACATACAT